GTCACTGTTTACCAGTAAGCCAGACACATTTCAACAGGGAGGCTGTTCTAGCGTTGCCTGATGCAAATGCACAAATTCCTTATTTAAAAAGTTTGGATCCTCAGTTAAAATTTATTTTTTCCCATTTTCAATTATCATTATCAAGTCATTGTTATGTCTGACCAACAGTCCATAATCCAAGATAACCAGTCCACTGTTGTGTGTTACAAGAAAAGCATCAAACATTATATTGAAGAGACTGAAAAAGCAAAAGACTCAAACAGCTATTCTGTCTTTATGACATGTCTGTGTTCTCCTTCCTCTCTCTTTCTCCTCTGAATATTCTGTCATCATCTTACTTTATCCCTCTGTTTATTCCCTCTCCCTTATTTCTGTTCTATCTCTCTTATGTCTTGTAAATATAAACATTATCCCTCTGGTTAGACATGTAAGTGTTTGTCTTCTCTTCTCTCTAGTTTATTTCCATAGATAACATACTTTAACACGAGTGATGATCGTTCTTATTTATATCTAAAGCTGTGCTATTAGGTTTTGGTTGCTGTCCATCCATGTAATAAAGTACATGCCGGTTTGCCAGAGTTTGCATGGGAGTCTGCGGACGCTGGCGGGTGGCTATAAGGATCTGGATGAGGCTAGCATATTCACCCAGTGCAACAGCGCCACCCGAGCCAGCACTGCGCAGGGACGACCGTGAGAGCAAACTTGGACCAGCGTACGAGGAGATTGAGAAAGACCTGCTGGTAGGACTGGTGTCGCAGTGAAAGCTCATACTGTAAACACTGCATTTCTTTTTGTTTGAATTGTTGTGAAATTGCACAGCATGTTGATGATGTGTCTGAACCTGTGTCAGCGTGCTCGAGCAAACAGCCATAGAAGACAAGTTACAGGAACGGAGTACCTCAGACCATTCGAGCTTGCTGTCCAAGAGCTGACATCCAAAATCTGGGTTTGACCGGTGCAAGCAAGGTGCACAACATTTTACAAGTCTGAGAAGGTTTGATGCATTCCGAGTTAGTAGTTTTTTATCCTTAGTGATCAATAATAAAGGAGGAGGTGTCACTTCGTCAACCTGGGGTCGTTTCCTTTTATGGTGAAATTTATTCATTAAATACCAGTTTATTCGGCCTGGGTTTGAATTTGTGTCGTTTTGGCCATAATTTCTATTTGTATAGTTGTATATAGTTTTATAGCTCACAGTGAAATCCAATGGATTTAGGTCAGCTGACGAACTTCTTCCCTTTGTTGTCAATAGAAACACCGGTAACTACAGCTGCAACGAATACGTCGATTAATCTATCTAGAGAAAATTAACTGTCAACTAGTTTGGAAAAAATCAATTATCTTTTTAGGCATTTTTAATAAAAGTCTCAACATTTGCTGATCAGCTTCTTCAAGATGAGAGGATTATTATATTTTTTATGACATTGAAACTGAATATCTCTGGTTGTGAGCTGTTCAGTCAGAATATATGATACCAAGTCTGCCCTTCCCCTAAAATAATATATCATCATATATTTGACATTATAGACATTTACATGTTTAACACATTACAACCTAGAAACCTATATACATCCAACAATACCTCACAAGTGGATCAGCTGTTTCAGTGCTGTTTCAGTGCTCTACTTCACCCACTGTATAACTTTTTAATTTATTTAATATATTATTTACTATTTTCCTGTTAGTTCATCGTGCTGTTCTGTGAAAGTATTTCAGATACTGGCATGAAACATCATGCAGAATCCCTGTTAGATATTTGCTCTTCATTCTGTGACATTTTGATGAAATTTATTTTTCGTATGCATTTCATTTCTGTTGTTATTTTCCACCTGCTGATGTTGTCGTTTATTTGTATTGCAGAAACGGCAGAAAACATCGGTTACTCATGCAACTTACTGCGAGAGGAGATGACTGAGGTCTTCATCATCTCAGGCAACACACCCGAGGACGTCAGAGAGGAACTGAGGTCAGAGCGAGTTCTCAAAAACTCAGTTCTAGTTCCAATTGCAAGTGAATCACTCAGCGACTGTCGCCTTCGCAAGCTGATTGTGAAACTTCTTTTTGTTTTTTCTTGTGGAGCAGAAATGCCAGAACCTCCATGAAACCAGACGCAGTGGATTCAATGTTTTTCCCGCAGAAGACGCTGGTTAACGGTGTGAAAGCGATCACAGACGAGGTGGTGAATGGAGAGTACGGCCTGGTCATCAACGGCCACAGTCTGGTACGCCAAAAGAAGTTCGCTCGTAACTTCCCAGTGTGACTTGTCTGTTTTACTCTCTGTCTGCTTCTAAGCTTGTATCATGTTTATTACCTCCTACTGCTATTTTAGCAGTATGGACATCTGAAGTTGTGAACACTGTGCAGCTAAGTTGTATTATTTTCAGCTGTTATATAATTCCTGCCTTTCATCCCTTTTTCATTTTTTTCTCCCATGGTCCTTCAGGCCTACGCCCTGGAGCGCAGCGTGGAGGTGGAGTTCCTGAGGACAGCGTGCATGTGTAAAGCAGTGATCTGCTGCAGGGTCACTCCTCTGCAGAAGGCTCAGGTGGTCGAGCTGGTCAAAAAGTACAAGCAGGTGGTCACACTGGCCATCGGAGATGGAGCCAACGACGTCAGCATGATCAAAGGTACCAGCAGGGGCAACGGTGTGATGTTCCTGCTCCTTCTGCATTCGTTTATTTGTATGTTTTATTGTGGAAAATGTGCATAAAAGAGAAATTATATTTATAATTTACAAAATGCAGAGAAACAGGAATATTTTGCTATAAAATTATAGCTTCTTTAAATGAAGATGCTACAGTTACTGCTCCTCACTTAGACAGTGCAGTAGTTCTTGTAGCTTTAGTTTCCATGAAAAAGGCTTTGGTAAACTGACAAGAGCTGAAACAATGAATCAATGAATAGATTGGTTGATTGACAAGAAGTTATTTGGCATCTATTATGATGATCTTTTAATCTTTAATCTGGCAAACAATTGCTTTCCAGCTTCTCAAATGTCAGGATTTACATCACTGTAAACTGATGATGAAACAATTTCTCAAACAAAACTCATTTAAATGATTAATCAGTTAATCAAGCAAATAATCTGCAGATAAATATAAGATAAAATTAACCGGTTGTTGCAGCACTAGAAATTATTGTAATTGCACTGCAATTCAATATGCTGACGAGCTGGTGAGCATGTTGTGTATCTCTGTTGCCTAGTGGCCAGAAACTGATTAATGCAGCTTTAAGTTTTTGGATCCGTGGTTGCCTGAAACCTGTGACAACAAGAGAGTGACTCGAATATCCGTGTCCACCCAGCGGCTCATATAGGTGTGGGCATCTCTGGTCAGGAGGGCATGCAGGCCGTGCTGTCCAGCGACTACTCCTTCGCCCAGTTCCGCTTCCTGCAGTACCTCCTGCTGGTGCACGGCCGCTGGTCCTACCTGCGCATGTGCAAGTTCCTGCGCTACTTCTTCTACAAGAACTTCACCTTCACCTTCGTCCACTTCTGGTACGCCTTCTTCTGCGGCTTCTCTGCACAGGTGAGAGAGTTAACAGGTGTGGGGAAATGAGGGAGGCTGGAGAGGTGGGTGAATGTGAAGGGATGAGAAAACAGTTTTTTTTTTTCGTTTATTTAATTCATACACATCCACAAACTTTCCTCACTCACATGTAACATTTATATGATGTAACACATCCTTGAACAGTTTAGACAATCTGACACAGCAATGAAGCAACCTCTAATGTTGGGTACGGGTCTGTAGTTTCTTTTCTGCAGCGTGTGAAACCACCTTTTTTTACTTTACAAAATAAAATGTAAGAATAAGCAGGGCTAGTGGAAGGATGAGGTATATGAGGAAGTACAAACAGAGCAATAGTATGTTTGAAAAACAAAGAAAGAAAGTAAAGTCTTGTACATTCTTACATGTATTTTTTTATTCATTTGCACTTATAGAAACAACTTAAAACATGTGACAGGACAGATATGACAATGGGCCTCCAAGCTAAACTAAAAGACACACAATATAGGGCATAATTAATAATATTAATAAATAAATAACAAAAAAGAAATGCTCATAAATGCAAAAAAGGGTAATAAGAAGCACACAAAATAAACAGAGCGATGTGGCACCAGTCTTACAAAGAGATAAATAGTGGACCTGTCATTGTATTGTATATGACTGATTATTATTAAAAGATTCTCTTCTGTTCTTTGACTTTGCTTTTCAGACGGTGTATGATGAGTGGTTCATAACACTGTACAATCTGGTGTACACAGCACTACCTGTACTGGGAATGAGTCTGTTTGACCAGGTGAGTAAATTTAATCCCTTTACATAATCACTTTTTATAGATACATTCGAGCTCAAGGTGTTTTTTTTTTTTATCAATGATTAATGTGACAGATACAAGACAGAGGGAAGTCAAACGACCAATAACATGAAGCTAATGGTGCAAAAAAAATTATCTTTGTCTCCGCCTGCTGGTCAGGATGTGAACTGCAAGTACAGTTTCCAGCATCCTCAGCTCTACATCCCCGGTCAACTCAACCTGTACTTCAGCAAGACGGCCTTCTTCAAGTGCGCCCTCCACAGCTGCTACAGCTCTCTGGTGCTCTTCTTCATCCCCTACGCAGCCATGCAAGACACGGTGAGGGACGACGGCAAGGACGTCGCCGACTACCAGTCCTTCGCCCTCCTAACCCAGACGTGTCTGCTGTTTGCCGTCAGCATCCAGGTATGAGGAACCATTTCTTTTGGATAATCTTGTCTTCTGCATTTATGAGGCCTAGAATAAAGAATTGTTTTCTCTCTGTGTGTGTTTGTGTGTGTGTGTGTGTGTGTGTAGTTGGGGTTTGAGATGTCGTACTGGACGGCGGTCAACACTTTCTTCGTTCTGGGCAGCCTGGCCATGTACTTTGCTGTCACATTCACCATGTACAGTAACGGCATGTTTCTCATGTTGCCATCAGCCTTTTCTTTCATAGGTGAGTGGCAAACTCTCGCCGAAGCATGAATTCACTGCAAAGAAAACTCTGTGTGCATTTCCACGTTTCTGTTGGTTAGTGACTGTTTAGATGCACGTCTGCTCCTTAGAAAAGCTTTGCTCATACTTTAGAGGCTATTTCAGAGTAAAAGCAGGCAGCAGAATTCATGTTAACCTAATTATACTGCCAAATACAGTGCCTGACTTTAGACTGGTGTGTTTACACAGGCAAAACATCTGGTTACAAATAAAACAGATAACAAAACCGGCTTTGTTCACTGGTGTGTGTGCAGAAGTCCAACCAAGCCTTTTTTGGACAGTCTCATCCTCTGCCCCCTCAACATACTGTCACCTGCACTGAGAGCTGGCATTAAACACTTTGTTAGCCTCTTTTCTCTTTTTTACTTATTGTTTGAATAGATACTTAATGATTTACATAATAATTTGGCTGATTTCAGTCTTTATATTGCTGCAGTGTTGTTGTGAATATATGCACGTGATGATGAATGGGAGAAGTTTGGTTTATTTTGTAAAACCTAAAACAAGAAGAGACATTCCTTCGTTTGATCCACAGTGGTTGGAGTGTTTTTCACGTATCTTAACTTAAACATTTCTAACCTTGCACATGAATTTAAATCTCTAAATTTAGACCAGATGCCTGTAACTGTCTTTAATGTCTCAAAAATCGATATGGATGCCATGAGTGCCATTTGCAAATTCAGCTTCATTTGAAGTAGGGCTGCAGCTGATTATTTTTATCGTCAAGTGATCTGATTATTTTCCCAAAGAATTGTGTCATGGAAAAAATGTCAATTAAAAAACAAACAATTTTTACTAAAACAGAGGGAAGATGCTTTGAGATGTTTTCCAACTGTCTGACCAACAGTGCAAACAGATATTTAACTCTCACACAAGACAAAGAAAAGCAGCAAATCCTCACAATCAAGTGGCTGGCACTTATAAATTATTTTACCATTCTCTAATTGTCCAAGTACAGTTTCTAAATGCTTAGCAACATTTACCACTGCTGTAAATGAGTGGCAGGAATAGAAACAGCTCCCTTGAGGAGGGCGTTAGAAGTGTTAGAATTTTTGATAAAAAGAAGAATTTTACAAAATTTAAACAAAATGTATTTCCGTCATTCTGTGCCAGAGGGCAGTAAATATTGACCCTTTGGTATTTGGTAATGTATGTAGTATTGCTGTTTGTTGTACATGTGTGTGTTTATCCAGGAACAGCCCGAAACTCTCTGAACCAGCCGAACGTTTGGCTGACGATCCTCCTCACCTCCACTCTGTGTGTCCTTCCCGTGGTTACCTACCGCTTCCTGTTGATTCAGCTCTGCCCCACCATCAATGACAAGGTACGACTCCACACTGACCACTTTACTCTCCCCCTGACTTTCACTTTGGATATCAGAGGATATCATTACTTCTGATGTCCATTGCAAATACACAAAACAAGCACTTGTTGTAACTCCAGACTTGCTCGAGAATCATCACATTTTTAAGTTTTCTTCAGCATTAAAACAATCCAGTGAAAGTTATCTCTGCATCTGAGGATACATTGCAAACAGGAGCCGCTAATAGCTAATTCGTCACACCTTTAATGGCGCTAACAAATATAGACTAAGAAAATAGGGCTCTCATTGTAGCCCACAGCAAAATCACTGAATACTTTTTGCCAAATTACGGGGACTTTAGTTTTAAGACATGGAACATGATTATCCACCGAATAGAAATCAAACAAACAATAATAGAAGGAGTAAAAAAGTTTCTATGTTTTCTTATGGGAGGGGTTTGTATGTGTTCACTGCTGGGATTCAGACCATTGGCTCTCAGAGGAGAGATGGCCAAAATACTTGCCTCTGCATCACCTATATAATCACGGTTATTTTGTTTGACTTGAAGAAAAGTGAAACTGCCGTACAGCAGACATCAGCTTCTTGTAGATCCAGCAATTTACAGTTACACGTTAAACAAAATGGTGACCAAGCATGTGGATAAGTGCATCTCTATCCAATATTTTAACTTTGTCGCAATCTGCCAAACATTTACAGGTGATGTTCAAGGTGAGACGGACCAAACCAGCACCTTCCCCTCCCGCTCGACGCACCCGTATCCGCCGCACCAGCTCCCGCCGTTCGGGCTACGCCTTCTCGCACGCGCAGGGCTATGGTGACCTGGTGACGTCCGGCCGGTTCCTGCGGCGTCCTGCTGTGTCGCGATCTTCAGCTTTTACCAACGCGGGCCGCACCACCATGGGCTTCAGTCCCATGGGACGATCGGCCGGATACAGCCCGACGGGACGCCCCCAGGCCGCCAAGGTCGAGGATGTGGAGGGGATGTCTCTTCAGATGTACAGGACTATCAAAGATTCCACCCTCTGACAGACAGGAAGAACACGCTAACTGGAAAGCTGAATGACACAGGCAGTCAGAGGTGTTTAAAGCTCACTTTTGTACATTTGTTAGCATGAAGAACTCACTCGGGCTCTCCACAGAACTTCATGTCAACGAATTTTCAAAATCCGTCCCTCATCTACACAGTCACCCAAGACGTGTTCTGAAGAGCATGTGACTTTTGCTCTGAGCATTTTATTTTGTAGGAGTTTATCAAAGGGAACTGCAGCAAAATGTGTAGCTGCCTCTGATGGGTGCGAGGAAGACTTTCCTTAGATCATGAGTGTTCATGTCAAACATCCTCATGCAGAGTGAAGAGATGAGAGACTGATGAACGAAGTGTTTCTGACACTAGAAACAGTAACGGTGTGATTCATCTTCCAGTAGGAACAACCACAGAAGGGAAAGGAAACATGTTCATGCTTCATGAGAAGGAGAAAATCATGTTTACAGACTACCAGGACTTTTGTTGACCCTGGGAGTCCAGATGCACAGCAGGGCTTTGTACAGAGGAATCAACCAGCAAAGCCATGTTGCATAAGATATTTTAATTTTTGTACCTTAAGCATCTTTTATTTTCCTATCTTAAAGGCTGTGTTAGCAGTTAGCACTTTGGCAGCGTCACACGGCGATGGGAGATGTTTGAAAGATCATAAACATCTTTCTTCTCAGTGAAGAAGAAAAACAGAAAAAAAAAAAAATTGCAGCAGGATTCAGCATCTTCAAAAGACAGGGATATTTAAATCATAAGCATCAGTGCCACTGAGTAATGAGACATACTTTATATTTTAAGGGTTTATAAGTTGTAAGTAATAGTTTTATTATCGATCAGAAAATGAAGGATTATTGTTTAACAGAAAATTTACAAAACATTAATTTTTGATCATCAGTTTGCAAAAACCTTCGTTTGTGGATGTTTATCCTTCTCTTGTGTAACTTTTAAATAGCTCTTCAAAGCATCTTGATAGGTTATTGGTGATTGGTTTTGACCTCCTAAGGGATCACAAATAAATCTGGGCTGGTCAAGAGGAAGGAAAAAACATATTTCTGCTACAAGAATCATGTTTGTTTTATTTCTGACCTCTCATTAAAATGTGAAATACTGAGTAGTTTTCTTCTCCAGGCCCCTAAAAACGAATCAAATGAAGCAGTCTGGGAACTTTGTCTTTGTTTGAACTACTCCCAACTCATGACCATGGAAATAACAACAAATACTTATGCTACTAGTAAAATTTAATGTATTGACAAGGTTATTTTGCATAAAATTTGTCTTAGTTAACTAGTAAACAATTTATAAAGTATTCCTTATTACAAAGTGGCACCAAATCTTCTGCAGGATGAAATCTAACCTGTGCCTTGGTGTTAAAGTCAAGGGTTTACATTCTGAGTTGCTCTCCAATAAAAGCAACTGAGAGTCTAAAAGGCCGTATTCCAGCCGGCTGTATTACATGTGGAGGTATCATGTTTTCATCATGTTTAGATCTAATTATTATAGTTCAATATTTTCACCAGAAAATCCCTCAAATGCACCTCGAGATCTGATTTATCGTCTGTGGCTGCTGAGCAAACTACAAAAGAAAAATTCACATTTTCCCCCCATAAAACAGCAGGAGAGGTGAACTGCGCGGCTGTGGAGGAACTAATTTGTAGTACACACCTGTTCAGGTTGTTCACCTTAACATCAATCACTCAACATCTACCCGTGATCTACCCCACACACTACAGAGTTGACTGCATGGTCCTTTTAATCCATTCAGAGACACATTAGGATTCATATTCATCCACATGTCTGTCAGAGCCGACCACTGGTGATCAGATCACACGGGACGCATTTTAGTGCCAAGTCTGAAAAACACTGCTTAGGTGATTTATACCTCATTTTAGAATCAGTCTATCAGATATTGCATCACATCATGTATTTGCTTTTGCTGTTTCCGTAGGTGTGACAGTCAGCTCTGTGGTTAGCAGTGTTTCTAACCAAACATGTAAAAACACAGAATGTTTTCACTGTTCTTTCAGCTGACTGAAAACATGAGCTAACTTAAAAGAAAACACAGAAGGTGCCTTAATATTGAAAGAAAAAGAAATGAAACAATAATGGCAAGAATGTATGATGGAAGATAAGTGTGTTAAAAATAACAGGTTTTATGCAACACAGTCAAGGACAAGCATTCATTTTCAGGAAACAATTTTATTTTTATACAGTCAGGTTTATTTTTAGTGATAACAGCTGGACAGCTGCCACTTTAATTTATTATTTGGTGTGTGAAGGTTTATAGAATAGTCCAAATTAAATTTTATTATTTGCAAAATAATTGATAGTTGCCCATATTTTTTATGCAATTACTGGTTACTACAATTCAGTTTAAACTGTTAAACAGCTGATGGATGTCTTGACATTGTAAACCTGTTAAAGCAGCTTTAATGTTTTGTGTTTGTGAACATCTGTTACCACAGTGTGACTGAGACAGAATTGAATGCACTAACTCTAACCCTGCTGGTGAACCAATGATTTTTTAAGGCTTTGTGCGTCAACACATTTCAATATTTACTCTGAAGTGTTCTTCATGGAAATATTTCAGAGTCTGGATATGCAGAAGAAACATTTGTTGCATGTTTGTAAAAGATGTTGGATGTCAGATGTTACCAGTTTCATTACACAGGGGCCCATTTCATTGTGAGCACTGCTTACACACAGTTCACAGATTGCGAGGGCTCCACATTTACAGCTGCACAGCAGCGGATAAATATGCAAATCATACAGCGCTCTTATATGCTCATGTGAGGGTTAGAAGAACGTCATTCATTTTGATTAGTCAAACATCAAAATGTGCAAGAGAAAATGATCTCATGATGCAGATGTGCTGAAACAACCCCTTCAATCACACCCAGTAGAGCTCTGTGTGCAGTATTAATGCAGTATAAATGAATTCAGAGAGGCCACTACAAGGTCAAATCATGCATTGCAAGTATTTTTTCCAATATTACTGTGGTACTTTCCAAAATAAATTGCAGCCATAAAGATAACTTTAAATGTTTTGATGTTTATCAATATATTCCTATCATTATATCTCCTGCCCTGAAGACTGAAACTGTAACTTGACCATTTCTCAAACATGACAAAAAAATCGAATGATTTTTGAACTGCTCTTCCTCATAACCATTTTGTATAATTTTGTACTTTAAAAAGTTTATACTGCAATAAAAAAGATCAAGATGACGTGTCCTATCTTCGCAGTTGTGCCCTTTTCCATTAAGAATAAGAAACAATTTTCTTTGTGCAACTGCAGTTTCTCTGTGTTTTCTGGGGGAGTCCAGACGTGATGCTTGGAATGAATTCTTCTTCTGGAAGTTTCTCCCATCTCCACACAGGATCTCTGGAGCTCAGACCATCAGGTTCTTGGTCACCTCTCTTACCAAGGCCCTTCTCTACGGATGCAGCAGCCCTGTACAAAAAGAACAGAAGATTAAATACTGTTTGTAATCCTAATGTTAATTTGTACCACATAATCTCTGTCTAATAAACCCAGGAACAGGAGCAGAACAATGTGACTCTACTGTCAGATAAATTCTGTTTTATATGTGTGCAGCTCATCACCAGCAGATGGTGTCATGCTCCTTTACACCACAGCAGTGATATCTCAGCCAAACCTTACAACACCATCCTGCTGTTTCCAATTAGTGTGTAATACTGAAAGAATCTTATTGTGCTGAAACACCACAACTATAGAAGACGAGGAATTATTACAGCTCAAGCAGAGCATGTTTACATGTACAAGCAGTAATGTGTAATATGTAATACAGTATGACTTATGAGACTGCACTTTACTGATCATCTGAGGACCAAAACAGCACCTGAGAGAAACCTATATCAGGCTGTGTTGCAAATACATTGATTATTGCAAGTTAGACAGTGTGCTGGATTTTTTGTTAGCTACTTAAGTCTTTGAAAACGAAGCATTTTTCATTTTAAAATTGGTAGAATATTGTATTTTCATGTTCTTTTTAACCCCAACAGAGCCTGGTGACATGCAAATGCAATGCAACATGTTTTGTTTAATGCATTTGAATATTATCCACTGTAGAGATGCTCAAGTCTTTGAAAATGAAATGTCAAACAACATTTCAATTTTCATTTTAACATGGTCAGAGAACACCCCCACACAAGTACGTGAGAATGAAACATTTTGAAAACTATTACAGTTTACACAAAATCGCAGTTTTATGTGTTGTGCCAGTCTTAGGCCGTTTCAGACTTTATAATGGGTTTGTATTGCACGGGATGTTCAGAGCTAGAGTGGATGACATCATCGCTAGAGTCGGAGAAGCTCTAGAAACTCCTCTGAAAGAATTCTGTGTAAATCGTCCTCACAGCCACATAGTTCAGTCTTCACACATCACGGCTTTCTTGGCAGTAGACAAATTTGTGCTGTTTCCAAGAAAGTGTCTACCTAAGCACAGAGATTTACAGAATTTGAATAGTGAGCCTCAAAGTGATGTGAGTATCCTCCACCTCTCCCACTGACTGCAATACAAATTCAGGAGCTGATTTCCAGAGAAAAGGAGAAGTGACTCTTTTTTGTATCTTGCTCCTGTGTCCACTTTTTTGGCTCTAGAAAAACCAAAGCCACCTAAATGCAAAATAGGTAAATACAAACGTTTGTACATCACAAATTTTATGCAAGTATAAGGGAAAGCATGATTGCATTTCAAATTCCAAGCATAGATTTATATATGTCAAAGCAAATCAAAATGTTTTGTATGCATCAAATGTGTCAATATCAGTCAAATTGAAGTCAATGTCTTTGTTTTAACTTAAGTGTCAAAACTGTAAGTTAGTTTGCAATGTGGGGAAAGAACATGTAGCTTTACTTTTAAATGTCAGCTTTGGTGGTTGTGCTGTAAATGTGCAATATAAGATGTGGCCAGAACTTTAGTTTAAATTGTTGAAAAAAATGAATTAGAACCATCAACGTGTGTGATGTTTGATGGAGCCACAGTGATGATGTCATGATCAAGACCTCCATCTGTTGCATTTTAGTCATCTACAAATGAGCATGTTGTAATACCACGTTGTGACACTAGACGCTGTGTGAGTCAGTGGTGCGTCAAGTCTGCCCTCAGTCCCACGAAGAAGAAGAACAACTTCCGGCAGAGCTTGAAGTTAGCAACACAGAAACAGAAATCGCTGAACCTCCTAGAAGAAGATATTCATCTGCATCCCGAAGGACTGCTCTCGACATGAAACCTTGTTCAACGGCAAAGAAAAGAAGCAACATGAGTAAATCTCGATGTGGCTTTCCACCGCTGGAGACAGCTCCTGAGAGTAAAGAGATGCGGTTTGATGCCGAGCTCGCAACTTTCCTGTTAGCCTGGTGAGTAGCATCCATGTTAGCTCTTTAGCTAAAAGTATAATCAGTGCAACGACTGACAAACCGTACCGACAAACATTTCAGGTGGTGATATTGAAGTTGTCGACAGACGTTTTAGCGGTTAGTAGGATTGTGTCTGTTGCTCTCGGCTGTTGTACAGCTTGTTACGTCAGTAACTTTAGACTCATTTTGTAACTGATGACTGTAACTTGAGATTGTATGGACCCAGTAGACCGAGTGAATACACGTCGACCGGTTCAACATGTTGTAACCCCTTTACATTACTGTTAGGAGATCAGCCATGATTGAAAGTGCACTAGGTCTTTACATTTCTCAGGAGATTTCAGCATCCCTCTGTCTTTTTCAGGACCTGAGCCAGTACAGATGCAATACCGCCTCCACCCGTCTCACCAACGGCAGAGTCCAGACAGTGAGGAGGGTCTAGGTGAGTAACATGCTATCATTCACTTTTAAAAGTATGACCTGTCTATACCACTGATTGAATCAGACCCACAGTGTAAACATGTTCATGCTGCTGATTCTTAATAATGAATATACGACTGACTATGTTTATGTTGTTGTGTCCCAGCTATCAGGTGATTTTAAGGATGGGAGTGTTTTTAGGAGAAGACCCTAGGAAAGGTCAGGCGCCAGAAGAGGGTGAGCACCCCTTCCTTTTCTGTTTTTCGGACATTCCTAAAAGCTGACATCTGTTAAAGTGAAAAGGAGTTGAGGTATCTTTTAACTTCATATAGAATGACCATGTTTGGGCATAAATGTTGGCTCTGTGCCACTATTGGTTATTAGGAATTAGCTTTGTCATGAATATGTAACTAGGGGTTACCCAGCCTATAAATTGTATGGTTTTGGGGAAAAACGGCTTTGGGTCCTCTCACAGGCAGTTTTGATGCTTGTTAAAAGATGCTGTGCTTTCTTGTAATAAACCTTTTTATATACAACTGAGCCGATGTCTGCGGAGATTCCTTCATCATCATCACATCATTGCGACGGAAGATACCACAATGTATTTTACAGTATATCCATATTTGTTGGTTATATAGTGTGTATACATTGATTTCTTATCATACCTCTAGTTGTTTAGTAGCTAGCATTAGATTTTTTTTTTTAGTTATTGGTGACAAAAACGGACAAACAACAATTGTAAAAAATAATGATGACATTGATAAGAATGATAATGCTAACAATGATTATATAATTGCAATAAATGACGATGGCATCACTGTATGTGTGTATGTAGAGTATATATAGCTGCCCCCCCATTTTCATTTGCCCTATCATTCACAGCTAGCTTGCTGGCATTGGTTATTGATGATTGAATTTAACGATTTATAAGATTGAAGAATGATACAATGTAAAAAAGGAAGAACTTTCTAAATGCACTGTATGTCTAACTGATTGATCTGTCCAACAGCCATCTCTAGTATTCTTTCCTACCAGGGAGTTTTTCTAGGATGAAGTGTAATTCAGGCAGAGTTTATGTTCTTACAGCTGCTTTCACACTGCTGTGTGTGTGTACTAAATTCACACACAAATATTAAAATTTGAAAACCCCCCCTCCCTCCAGGTGACAAAGAAGCTCAATGGTGCTACTTCTGAAACAGCTGCCTGGGTTACCAATATTGGTATGTTGGCTTTCCAGGATGGCAGCTGGATTGATGACGCCATATCTTCGAGGTGGACCCCCGGAGGTACCTGCTGTCTCATTGAGGCATAGCGGTCCCAGCTGGAGGGGAAGCACAGGATGCTCGGCCTGACTGTTGCCAAGGTTTTCCTGAGGATCTCCTGGGTGGAGCGGAGGCTCCACTGTTGGAGGAGGACACATGGGGCGGAGGAGACGGCCCTCCTCTTCCAGGATCTCCAGGTCACCCTGGACGTCTCTTTGCTGGATTCTCTCTGCATCCAGGACATATGGAGACACAGAGGAGCCACCTCAGCTGCAGGACAGGGTCAACCTTCCAGTTTCCACCTTAACCAGTTCATCCCAGGTACATGCGTGTGTCTCAGAGCTTGTGATTAAGTATAATGTGTATTATCATTTCATGTAAACATAAAATTCATTTTTGCTCCAAAACCTTTTTCCTCAAGCCAGTGCCAAGTACTTCCAAGCTCCTGGCAACACCTGCCGGATAGAGCAGGAGGAATAGCGAGTTGTCTTCCCTCCCAGAGACCAGGAGAGGCAGCCCAGGTGACCGTTCAAGGCAGCGACAGGGAAGAACGCCTCCTGTCCTGGGAAGGAGAGTCTCCAGAGGTGAGATTCACTTCATATATCACTGTTTCCTCTAATGAATATCAGATCTATATTAACACACACTGCTCTCTGATTATCTTTCAGCTGTTGGTCCTCCCCTCGCTCCAGTGCTGCTCCTCTTCTGTTCAGCCACCTCCTCTGCCTGGACTACCTGTACCCAGGACCAGAGCATACAGGAGGAGGATGCCGGCCCAGAGCTGCTGTGGCAGAGCGGGGGCCGCTGCCTGGAGGTAAAAAACCTGCCAGCAGCAAGTGTGGCCAACCCAGAGGGATTGACACTGACCACACTCACATTGCAGGTGTGTCACACTGTGTGACTTTTGGTGGAAAGACTGTGGAGGAATGGAGGGAAGAGATGAAGAGAAGACAGGAGGACAACTTTTTTTATCTTCATTTATAACTGGGTAATAACACTTTTATTTTATTTGTTGCATTTGGAGTGGTGTTTGTGTCACCTGATGTCTCATGATGATCTCCTGACCAGCTCGAGGGAAATCTCTCTTTAGCTTCTTAATGCTCCACTATGTTCGGCAGCTGCTCTCAGACTGTGCCTGTCTGCTGTTTGCTGCTGAGGAGGTCGTGGACAGTGGCTACGGCCGAAAAAGTATATATATTCAATGATGACAAAGACTTTTACAGCAGTTTTTTTTCTTTTCTGTTAATTATTCTTAAATTGCATTCAAGATGGCCTTAAAAAGGTCTTAAAAACTCTTCAACACCAAGATAGAAAGTTAAAATGAGCACAGTGCGAAGACTGGACATTGACTGTTTCCCTGGTAAAAATGTTGTAAATAGTTTCCATTGGACACAATGCTGTTACTGTATGTAAGAATTAATTTGTAATTTGTGCTTTCTTTTATTCTTGCAGCTTACATCATGTGCTGTGGTGCAGTGGATGGATGGGCATCGGTTGAGAAAACTAAAGTCATCACATGACTCACTATCACAGGGTGAGGAGCCCTGGAGAGAGATCATCAGTTTCACCTGAACCTCAAGTTCTATTAGTAAGTTATATGATTGACTCATTATCGCCTCTTGAGGACCAAAGTGGTGTTACAATATGAGACGGCCTGTTCAGGACATCTAGAACCAGTTACACAGTGAACCTTTCTAAGGCAATCTGCAGTCACTTATTTCTGCCCCATTAACTCCATTACCATTGTGTTCAAAGAAATGCATTTTATTAAGTGTTGCTGTATATTGGGTAAACTTTAAATAAAGGGCTGATTTGTTCTAGCATTTGTAAGTGTCCATAATTTTTAGTTTTAATTCATATATATGTGTTAGGTGAACCTGGATGAAACTAATGCAGTATGAGGTCAGTGTCAGGATGAGTCTCTACGACATGAATGAAGTTGAAAGTATCGTCCTTTGTCCAGATTGAAATGTGAGGAGTGAAGTACACGCACCAAGCAGCAGGAACATTTAAAAGTTCTCCAGGAATTTTCTAGTTTGACTTTAAAATTCCAATATATAATATTGTTTGTACATACAATGACAAATTTATGACACACCATTTTGTTTGCGTGATAATTTTACATCATGAAATGTATTTCTTATTCATATGACATAGAAGTAAATACTCAAAAAAAATTTTTGTTTTGTTGTGTTTATAATAAAAAGTTGGACTGAAATATATTTCCAGTCAGACAAGGGTCATGCCATGCAGTTATTTTGTGTCCTATCTACTCAAAACTTTCATGTTACTTTACTGTTAAACTAATAAACTAAACTTGTGTTATTTTCAGTAAACTTTGAACTGAGTGAGCAAATTGGGATTTACAGTGTAGATCACATATCTTTACAGTATGACGTCTGAAAGGGACCAGACCAGATGAACGCTTCGCCTTGACTGAGCACGTACAATACAAATCAAAGTCATAATGAGTCCCAGAGGGTGAAAGGTCAACAGGGGCCTCCTGCTCTAATTTGCAAAGTTTGTTTTTGAGTAAATCAACCAGGGTGTATAACTTGTCTTTTTCCCAGTGCATGCTGGGATAGGCTCCAGCCTCCCGTGGCCCTGGAGGGGATCATCAGTTTTAGATAATGGATGAATCGTTTCTCTGTGAATCATTTATTCTCACACCTGAGGCAGCCATTTAGATTTAATATGATGAATCCCATGCTGCATCTTGTGTGGTGTTTTTCCTTTTAAATTTTACACCTTGAACATTTGAGGAAAGGTAGGTTTAATAATACAGTAAGGCAATGATGATTCCTCCTTTACTTTTTTCAGTGTTGAAAGAAGTATACAGATCATTTACTTGAGTAATTGTAGTGATACAACAGCTTAAAAATACTTAAATTCAAGCAAAAGTCCTGCATTCAAACTTTTACTTAAGTAGATGTACAGAAGTATTAATATCTAAATGTACTTAAAGTATCAAAAGTAAACATTCAGCAGACATTGCCTCTTTTATGTTGCTAAAGGTTTATTACCACCGATGCAATAACTTGTGAGCAGTATTTTTGTTGGAGTTTGAGTTGATTTTTAAATACTGAATAAAATATTTAATCTGCAAAAAGTCGTGAAAACCTACAGACATTTGTCTAAGAGTCCATTATTTTATTTTGCAGGGCAGTGAGGATATCTTAACCTGCCTTTCATTAATTGAAGAAAAAAATAATTAAAACAAGCATCTGTATCTTGAAACAACACAAAATTACTAGAAATAATTTTAGGACATTTTAATGAGGTAATCTGCATTAAAATAGTTTTGTTAAGTTATGACATTTGGTTGGATTTAAAGATTTAAAGAAACTGGTCTGCATTTTGAGAATTTTGCTTCATGAATATTATGTTTTCTAAACAAAAATAAATAACTCAATCACAATATCCACCTCTTAATGAAAAGCTGTGCTAGGTTTCTTCTGCTGAACTGTGATGAAAATAAAAGTGAAAGCTTTGCTGCCCTCCTGCGACCGAAGTAGCTCCACCAACTGACATATACCAATGCTGCGTTTATGGCGTGTAAAGAAAACGGTAATTTCACTATTCTCGTGGAAAAAGACCGTTTTCGTAACCTTTCGGGTGGCAAACAATTCCCAATTTATTTGCCTTTTAATCTGACAGGACACATCTAATCTTTGTGTTTTTTGATTGTGATTTTCTGGGTTTTAACATTGTTCAGTAGATGGTAAAACGTGAACCATCCAAGCCGCGACTTCTACCGAAATCGAGCCGCACCAACGCGTATCACGCAATTTCCCTTCAGACCTCAAATCCAGCGCCGGGACCAGACTGCCTTACATTGTTAACGCTGATTTCTCCTGTTCAACCCAGCATTTTGTGTTCCGTGAGCCAAACCTGGGTCACAGGCTCCCACGAAACGCATGAAATCTCGGCTACGTTTGAGAGCGGGACACACACCGGCATACTGTAAGATACTTCACAGCGTATTCATACAATTTGTCTCAGTTTATTCGCCTCCAGAAAGAGCCAAGAAACGTTGGGCAAAACATACCTACTAGCTAACGTTACTGTTCAGCATTCTGAATATTTCAGACTGCAGAGCAATATTCAGCGGTTTTCATTTAGGAAAAGCTCAACGGTTAGGCTTTAATTTTTATTTTTATTTTTTTTAGGGTTGTGACTTTTTTTTTTTACACAGTGAAACTGGGCTGAACACCTGTCCAGGTCCTCCCTGGTCATTATTTAAAGAAGACGGGCTAACGATATGACTTTACTCAGCAGTCATTTTCCTCGCTGGACTCAAAGGAGGAGGAGTAGGTCTGGCGTGTTTCCCATGGCTACACCAAGCTTTCCTGGGGGGTTATTTGCATTCCTAACCAGCCCGTGGTGACATACTTATGATTATATAGCTATTATCTTTGAAACTGGCAGCTGTTATAGCCCAGTAATTCAAACTGGTACCTGGGAGGATAATAGAGAGAGTAGGGACTGGGAGGAAAGATCAGCTCCAGGAGTCGTGACGTCGCCCTGGAGGTGCAGGTTCATTTCTCAGTCAGTTAGCTTTTCCTTTTGTTGACTGGACGCCCACCCGCCCACCCACCCCCCCCAATTTACACCAGTCAGGTTTCACAGTCGAGGGCTAACGCTTCTGCCTTTTCCTTCTCTATTGTGCGATATCCACTTGGTTCGGGAAGCCCTAACATGAGGAGGAGTGTTGGCTGTAACCCTGCCCAGACCGGAGGCTCCTGGTAGGGATGGTGCCGCTGTGAAGAGCCGGTGTGCCGCGTCGGTGGACAAGCCTGTGTGGTCGGGGGTAAACGGGAGGAGAGGACGTGCCCGGACAACATGACTGTTTTCAACCAGGAAAATGTTGAGGAATTTTATGAAATTGGAGACGAGCTGGGGAGGTGAGTTTCACTAAGGTTTATTCTTATTCCTAATACGTATGAACTTCCCCTTTTCATGTCTGTAGTATGAGACAGAGGGCGGATGACATATTGGAAAAAAAATCTAATTTTCAGCTTTAGATTTAGATGATAAATGTTTAGGTTGCATGCAGCATTTTAACAGAGTGTTCATATAATTGTCCTAAATATGTGTTTTCATGCCATGCTGCACCCACAACTCTGCATACACATGGATTTAATTCATACACACAAACACCACTGCATGCTCTCACTTGGGGCTGCAACTGGTGATTATTTTCATTATTGGATAATCTGCAGTTTATTTGTTTGGTCTATAAAATCGTTTGGTGCCAGAGAATAGTCCATAGTTTTGTCTGACATGCAGTCCTAAATCCAAGGGTATTCACTGTATTATCACTTATGACAAAGAAAAGCAGCAAATCGTCACGTTTGAGAAGCTAAAAACAGCATATGTTTGGCTTTTCTGCTCATGAAATGACTACAATTATCTAAATAGTTGCTGATTCATTTTCTGTGGATCAGCTTATCCAGTGGTTCCCAACCAGAGGGTATATCTGCAGTCACTAGGGGGTACATGAAACATTGTGAAGCTCAAATCATTTGAAAATAAAATTATTTCATAATACATATCCAGATACTTGTGTTTAGGAGGAAAACAGAATTACAAATGTGAATAATTTTGATCTTTAGTTTAGTTATTGTCACAATAATATGCCAACTATGGTGGTATGACTCGACTTTCCACCATCCTGAGTTAGCTGTAAGTCGACTGCAGAAGACTAGTAACAACAAACACAACAAAAAGCTCAAAGTAAAGATACTGTAAAATGGTTGAAATGTCCTGTTTCTGTCACTCCAAATGGCAGGATTAAAAATGCAGACTTGACCAAAGCGGGTAAATAAAAAAAAAAAAAGGAAAAGCCTAAGCACAAACAATTACTGTATGTCTTGTATGGATTCACACAGATCAGCGTTTTTCTGCAGTAAAATACCATGAAGTCGTGTCATCTATGAAGGGGTCTGATAAAAGGGTAATTTGGGCTGTGGGGGGTGTGTCACACAGAAAAGGTTGGGAATCACTGAACTAATAGCTGTAGCTCTAATTTTAACCCATCTACTACATCCAGAGCGATCATATAATAGTCCTAAATATATGTTCTCATGCCACGATGCACCCACAGCACTGCATACAGATGGCAGTAGTCCATACACACAAACGCCAATGCACAATCTCACTCAACCAATCATGCTATATATGTGAGTGGTATCCAGGACTTGCATCCCCCCTGTCTGCATCGGATAGGCTCTGATTAATGCAGTCTATAATGCACCGTCGTCAGTGATGAAGAGGGTAGTGTCTACTGTAGCTGCCTCTTCCAGGATTTATGGCAGGAAGGGGCAGACGGCATCACCCTGCGTCTTTACTGGGAGGGAATTTACATCGCAGCTCAGCGTGTGTCTGGTGGAAGGTGTATACTGACAATGTGGATGAATGTAGGTGAAACCATTTGACAGGACAGATGTGTGTTGGTTCTTTGGGTTGCTTTTTTGTCTGGAAAGTTGCTTAAATTACAAAGCAGGGTGGTCACATAAAAGCTGAGGAGTGAGCGACGCACTTGATTTGCTGTGTTCTCATAAATATGAAGCAACAGTGTCAAAACAGCACAAGTAAAGGTGCGTTCATCCCCACAGTGGATCACTGACACCTTCTCATGTAACTGTCAGAAACATGGAAATGGATCTCTGTGAGTTTGTGGTTATCAAAGTGACACATGTACTTCATGTTGGTAATAATCAACCAATTGTTTTCTGCTCTCCAGGGCCTATCTGGCAACACTGCTTCTCCTTTTAGCACTCACCTTCCCGCACTGTGGGGGAGAGCTGAAGTTGCTGTAGCTGCTTCTCTATGCTACTTTGGTAATAGAGACGATTGGGGAGCTTTGTGTAATGGGATTGAATTTCTGGCTGGAGGTAAATAGACGGCTACATGAGTGTGATAGTCTCATTTGGTCGCCACTCCAACTCCGGGATCTATTCTCTATTGTGGTTTGTGTAGGACAACAAGAGTTTAAGTCAGGCTCTTTGACATCATAGTAGAATTTTCTAACATTTGGAGTGTTGAAATATCGTAACCATTTGCTTTTCTTGTGAAAACATCCTGGTTCTGTTATAAAGGCATCCATGCAAGCTGGTTTTTGGAGTGTGCTTCAGTGGGCAAAAGCCCAGATAGCGTATTGCACAAGTTTAGTTTTGGAAGGATTTCATTTCTTTATGAAACAGAGGAGTTATGCATGACTTGGGGGGGGGTCAAGACTACCGCTTAAAATGGAAAATTAAATATAACCCACTTACTATTTGATAGACAAAATCTGTAAAATCTTGTAGATACAGGTAGAGTTGGTATACAGCAGCAGCCTGCTTTTGAAAATACATTAACTCATGAACAGAAATAAATAATGTCTGTGGGAGAGACGTGTTTTGCATTGGCTGTAAAGGCACGCACCTTGTCTGCAGCGAGAACTAGAGTTGAGTTTTATGCAAGAACAGCTCCTACAGACACGAATAACATGTAGTGATTTAAGAGAACTTGTTTGCTAATTTCCTTTACTTAAATGTTTCTCTGAGGTTAGCAAGACATTTTTTTTTGTAGCATCTAACTTCATGTTGCACCATCCCTTCATTATTTCTGTCACAGTTTATTAATGTTGTAATCACACAAAGTTGACAGCTGTAGTAATATAATATTGCTTTTGGGTCCTGTAATACCACGACTGACACTTGTCTTCATCTGCTGATCTCTGACAGCTGGACTCAAGGCTTCTTTTTACTTTTTGGCATCCATTGATGAATAAAACGGAATAGAATTGGAATTAGATCCTCACAGAAAAAGTAGGAGAGGTTTAGGATAAGAACAAAAAAATGTACCTCTGAGGCCCAATTACTACTATTGTGCTCGTGTTTACAAACATCGCTTCAAGTTTTTTTACGTGCATTAACTTGGATGAACTTTTGTTAAGCCATTGTTAGTTTATGATAAAAGCCTGTGAGTCTGTCTATTCATTGGCTAAATTACAGCGGCATGACCTGCACTATAAAGCCTTGCACACTTTAAGACAGAGAGCCTTTTGATCTGACTGTACTCCAGCCCTGACTCCGGCTGGAATTGGAATGAGGCCCATTTGGTTTGGCAAAATGATGAAAATGGGAAATCACCCGAGCAGTGACTTTATCCTTTTCACTGACGGTGCTTGCTTTGGTGTTTATGCACGGTAGAGCCGAAGCCTGGTGAAGCCAAGCATCTAACCTTCATTAGTATCCAGCCACAGTGAAGCATGCAAGCAGTATAATGAGGAAGAGAGTGTGGAAGAAGCTACGCAGATGCAGACTTCAGTAAATACAGTCAGGAGAAATGGATAATTGTCATTTTTGAGCCGTGTGTGCAGTTTGATTTTATCTAATCCTGTCTCTAAGTGTATCTGTAGCCTCTGGAACCACAGGTTAAGGTCTCTGAGGTCTTCACAGTATACAGAATGTTTGATTTATCAGACCTTTATTGAACCACCTAGTGTGGCATATATACTGTATGTCGAATATCTAGCCAGAGTTTAATGGCCCTACAAAGGTGCAAAAGGCAAGTGTAACAGTGGGTTAGCTGTTGAGCCTGCAGGAAAGGCATCAAGTTGTTACTTGCAGAGCTGCATTGAACAAAGTGCAATAATCCCAAGCAAATGAATTAGTGGTCAAATAATTCTCCCTTTTGAACTGTGTCCAAAAAAATGGCCACTTCAGCTCCTGATAGAAATTGCTACTGCTGGTCTCCTCCAAAGGCTTTCCTCTAATAAGTCAAGCGCTGACCACATCTGTGCACAGTTGATCTCTCTAATTGCCTCACAGATTGGCAGAAAACTCTCGCTTCATGCCTGAGATCAGCGGGGAATTACTGAAGACATTATAGCTACTGCCATCTCAGACGATCTCCTATTTGATGCCACCTCTAAATGATGGTTACACAAGGGGAGAAGCATCGTTGAAGGGTTTATGGGTTTCACACTGGTGCTGCAGGGATAAAAAGACTCTTAGGGCTTATGGCGTCTGTAGTCTCCACTTGAGGAATACTGGCACTTGTATTTTTTTTTCTAACAGGCTCTCAAACCTGTTATTTGTGTATGGTCCCAATACTCACTACATTGTGTGATTTGGGATATCACCCTTGACTCTGTGGAACTGTGATAAGCATTTTTTTTCTCCACAGTTTTTCACATTTCATAGAGAAATTAATAAAAAAAAAATACTCTGCCAAATAATCAGTCATGAAAATAAAAAAATAAAAAAATAATCATGAGTTGCATCCTTAATATATCTGTATATACCCAGTTTCATGCCAAAGAAGACGAGTATTCAGTGTTTACCCAAGTGCTTTTAAAATCTTTTAAACTTAAAACTTAAAATTTTTATAGAAAAACTCTAAACCAATTAAATTATAATGTGGGCAAGAAACTCTCAGGCGACTCTCTGCTGTTGTTTGGGGATAGAGGAAAATCTGGGACACTGACTAGCTGCAATAATCAAGACTGAATTTTCAAAAGGCTTCATTAAAGGAATGTGCAAAAAAAACAAAAAACAAATTACATATGTATTTTTCCATGGCTGTTAACAGAAAGAAACCCCCATCACGTCACCGGTAGACGACACTGACACTGGCTGATATTTGATCTCTCTTACGAGGCCAGTGTGAGTCTAGAATATCAACAAGCCTTTATATTAGCCCGACCATAGAATGCAGTCATTTAGGATTCCCTCAGACGGGTTAAAGACAAGAGCAACATCCAAGCTGATTTTTTTTTTCTTAAGTTTCCATGTTGTCATTTGTTTTGAGATCCACTGACTCAGCCACTTTCCGGCTGACTTGGACAGAGAACGATGACATTAGCCGACTGTGGAATGCATTTTGTGCTGCTTTCATCTGGTCCACAGGGCAG